ATTTTTATATTTCCTAACATAAATAAACAAGACAGAATAAAACTCCAAAGCGACAAAGTTTTGGCCTAGGCTCTTATGACACAAGGCTATACCCGTGGATACTCGCTCTCAGCCCTCCAATTTCATCAGTCTTGTGTCTATAGGAAACATTGTTTGTAATGATCCCCTTCAAACATGAATGATGAAAGTGCACATTCTGCAAATGACACCTCAGCCAATCTGCCCCATCTGCATATGAGACGGCAAATGATTTCAGTCTTTAGGCATTCAAAATAAAATGCACATGCGGCAAATTCCAAGCTGGCAGGAAAAACCAGTCATTAAAAAAGTGATTTGTTTTCTACATTTGCAAACACAAAAGCTCCATTTATTTCCACTGACATAAAGAAAACAAACTGTTGCATTTTTTAAACAATCATAGCCAGCACACTTTGCAAATGTTTTAATTTCAAAAATACTAACTGGCAAATTAGAGTTTAAATAGCTTTTCTAAAGTGGTACCACATTAGATACAGCGTTCTGATTGATAGCATTGCTTTGCCCTACAAGAAAATGTTTTACTGTCTTCTCTGTCTACTGTAGTGATGCCTGTTTGTTGCTGCAGTCACTAAAGAAGAAACCTAACTATGTGAAATTTAAATAAAATTATATTAATTAACAAGAAGATATATTTCACATTATGAGAGCCTGAAAAAAGTCTACATTTCTTTTGAAATTAGAAAATTATGGTCTCTGTCCGTCAGCCTTTCCCCCTTTCTCTTCATAATGGGAAAAACAGAATAGCAAATAAAGAAAATAGCAAACATAATTTATATAGCCCCATCCTAAGACAGCTTATAAACATGCTTAACTTTACACAGAATGAGTTGCTTCATTAAACTCACTGGGACTATTCCCAATGCAAAAATGTAAGCATGTGTATAAGTCTTTCAAGGATCACGACATGTAAGGGTGATCTGTAATGAAAATAAAACTACCCATTTTTTTTCAAATTTCTTAATCTGTATTTATTTTTGTGGCTATAGCAACATCTGGTGGACAAACAGCAAAATATAAAGCCTGTGCACTTCCATCATATGGTATAAATATATGTGTTTTAAAATATGAACTATTTTTACTTGCTCTTGTTTTTTAAAAGTTAACAAGAAAGACTACCAATCTAACTTGGGTAATCCTTAATAACTTTAAAGTTATTACGTCACTTAGAAAATGTTTTCTATTCTTAACCAAAAGTGGTGACGGCATCTTTGTTTCATAACATACCAAAACATTACCTTTTTCTTTCCCATCCTCCCTCTCAGGCAAGTGCTCATATACTTTGAAGTGCTGGTAATGGTGTATCAAAATATACTAGGCCACATTAAAAAGAGTATACAAATACCCCAGAAATGCTAAGGTTGCATAGTTAAGCAGTCAAAAAATACAACCTATGACAAATAAAGTTCTAAAGTTAGAGATAAGAAAACATTAAGGAACTCCTGTAGATTTGCTTTCCACAGAATCAAAGTCTAAAAGGAAATCAAAATAAAACCCCAAAATAAGCAAAAAACCCACGGGAGGACAACTTAGCATGCAAGGGTGAAGCTGAGTGATCAGCATGCTGACAGGCATTCTTTTTGTTTCACTCATTTCCTCTGTGCTTTCTTCTAATTTTTATATAATTGGTCTCTCATTTTTCATATTCCCTTTACTAAAATTTCTGCCTTATAGGTATATCTGCTTAGAACCAGCAAAAAAGTATTTAATGATAAAATGAGAGCCAAATACAGTAATATTTGCTAAAGTTGCTTGATGCTGAGGTTAGCTTGAGTTAACTTTCAAAGGACTGGAGACATGAGAATGTAGAACAAATATGCTGACTAAAATGCCTTAACAGGGAACAAGCCTGCGTATCTACTACCAAGAAGATAACTGAGGAACAATTATTCCATTACAGGCTGTAGAATTCTAAGACAGTATCAAAAAGTTTCTGGCAATAATCTCTAGAAATGCAGAAATTAATGGATGGATTGCTAGTAGTCTGGCTAGGTATTTGTCTTATCATTGGAAATCTGAATCCTCTCTGGTCCTTCACATACAGTAAGATGTGCAGTACTTTCACAACTGTACTGGTGAAGTCAGGCTTGGCTACAAGATTTTGCTAATGCAACATTTCCCTGATTGTAGCTCCATGCAGAGATCAGAAGTGGTCAGCAAACTGTTCAACATTGCCTGCAGCTTTCTGTACTGCCTCTTTTTTCAGCTTTTACTGGAAGAACTAATTGTAAGATGCAAGTTCTTGGGTAAGTCAATAAATCAATACACAGACTCTCTAATACAGCAACATGCTGCTTCAAGTTATCCACCTCCCAAACAGTGATCAAGGAGATGACTCTCTTTCACTAACAAACTGCAACAGATGAAGACGCCAGCAGGAAAGTACCATGCCAGAGACAAAAAAGATATTCTGAATTTACACACACCAGGCACTTGATTCAAGTATTGCCAAGACCAACTGCCTTCTCCCCAGAGGTCAAAAATAGGGGACTTGCCAGAAATTCCTGTAAGTCCATTACTGTTGCCTTCTTTTACATGGCAGGTGTAACCACTCCAGCTTCACAGATAAAATAGGGGATTAGTCATGTAGATAGAAACTGAAAGCATATTGGTGAGAAGTGGCATGGTCCTGAACCCAAAGTATCTGTGGAAGACACATGCAGTCATCCACAAACTCCAGGTCATTCGCTGGGACATTACACATGCAGTTTTACTACCTGGCCATTATTCCAGTGATTTTAACTTGACACAACCACATATAAGACTGTCATTTCTTACTTGTAGAGAATACCTTTGAGGTATTGAGAACTTGCAAGCATAGATAGGTAATGAAATCAGAAACCAAAAGGAAACAATCCAATGCAAGCATCTCTGTATGTGTACACGTAAAACAAGATTTGATTGGGATGGCGTCTTCCATTTGACCAGCTAACATAATCAGCAGACAACCTTTTGAACACAAACACCTTTCCATTAGTGTGAAGTAGAAACAAAAGACTAGAAGACTAAACACAAATTACAAATGACTGCCGTAACTGGGAGTCTAATCACACATGTACTATTCAGGCCATTCCCCAAAGCAGAAAGAGTAGTGGTACCTGTGGAGAAGATGGTAAATTAACTGTGTGAAAGAAAGGTGGTGATACTCCTCGGGGAAAGCCTGAGGTAGATTTTACACTGTGGAATAACAAATGGCTAACAGTATGGGAAAGATTGTCATAAAGCTCATTTTTCCCCTAGTTTGGGGCACTTGGTTGACTTACAGGCTTTGTTTCTCCAACTTGTTTTCACAGGCTTGCCTTGAAGCTTTTGTTCCTGCATCAGCACAGCCTGGTGCCCGGCCCTCGTGTAACGCCGCACTCACTGACACCACCACCACTCAACCACACAGGCAAGGCCCACCGCCCTTGGCAGAGGGCACAGGTTCAAAGGCTCTTCTGTGTGTCCATGAGATTCACTTTTAAATGCACAAATGAGCAGGTTGCTACCAAATGCCAGAGACAAAGCTGTAGGCTCTTCACCTCTTAGCGCTTGGGGCCTGCAGCCCTGCAGAGCACTAGGTGACTGGTTGGAGCCAAGCCAGGCTTAGAAAAGTGTCCTAGTTTAGTGGGACAGAATTTTAGAGGAAAACTCCAATCTTGTAAGGACTACAACACCCTATTTCATGGGAACAAAGTTGATTAAAACTTTGTTACAGCTTTTCAGCTAATTCTGCTATGCAGGTTACCACAGTGATCAAGGTCTTTGACAGCCTTGAGTTAACCAGGTGCAGAAGTTAGGAGGAATGACAGATGATCAAAGATGGCCAACTGATTTATCCTATACCATAAACATCACATTCACTATAAAGTGGGGAGTTTGCTGGGAACAGCTTTTCTCTGCCTCTTCCTCCTGCTCCTTTTTCTCCAACCACACAGGCAAGGCCCACCGCCCTTGGCAGAGGGCACAGGTTCAAAGGCTCTTCTGTGTGTCCATGAGATTCACTTTTAAATGCACAAATGAGCAGGTTGCTACCAAATGCCAGAGACAAAGCTGTAGGCTCTTCACCTCTTAGCGCTTGGGGCCTGCAGCCCTGCAGAGCACTAGGTGACTGGTTGGAGCCAAGCCAGGCTTAGAAAAGTGTCCTAGTTTAGTGGGACAGAATTTTAGAGGAAAACTCCAATCTTGTAAGGACTACAACACCCTATTTCATGGGAACAAAGTTGATTAAAACTTTGTTACAGCTTTTCAGCTAATTCTGCTATGCAGGTTACCACAGTGATCAAGGTCTTTGACAGCCTTGAGTTAACCAGGTGCAGAAGTTAGGAGGAATGACAGATGATCAAAGATGGCCAACTGATTTATCCTATACCATAAACATCACATTCACTATAAAGTGGGGAGTTTGCTGGGAACAGCTTTTCTTTGCCTCTTCCTCCTGCTCCTTTTTCTCCTTCTTCCATAGCTGATATCTCGAGGAACTTGTTTACCGTTCTAGCCGAGGCCTACTCCCCAATATTGGCTGTGTACAACTCTGTGTATTTTGTATTATACTGTTATTAATATTGGGTTTTATTATTTTATTAAATATATTTCTATTTCAACCTGCAAATCTCCGTTCCTTCTCCTGAACCCCCCTCTCGAGGTGGGGAGGATGCATCGGGTGACAGAGTAACTGTATAAACTATAAACCACAACAAAGGGGAGGGTGTAGGGGGACATGCTCTTAAACGTAATTTAAAACTTTTTTTGTTTTATTTTTCCCCTCAAATCCTGTTTCCAGGGCCTGCGACGTAGGCACCTGGCATAGACAGCGCCACCCCCCTGGCCCCGCCTCACAGCGCATGCGCGCGCGCAGCGCCTACGTACCCAACAGGAAGAAGCACGGAACGGAACGCGGGCGGGTGAAGATTGGTGCTCGGGGCTTTCCGTCCGTCGGCGGTGCGCGGTTGGGTGTGTCCTTCCGTGCTTGCTGTGGTGTGAACATGGCGGAGTATTCCTGCGTTAAATCCACCAAACTTGTCCTCAAAGGGGCAAAAGAGAAAAGGTGAGAAGTGGGTTCACCTCTTGGCCCTGTCTCGGTGGTGCGTCGGGCCACACCCCTCCCCCCAGCTAGGTTGCCCCCCGCTGCGTTGGGGTCTCGTCTGGACTAGGCTGCGGTGAGGCCAGGCCTAGGCCCTTCGGTCCCGCCGGCTGCGGGTATGGCTGGGCTCGCTGGCCAAGACAGGTTTTCGTGTTGTCAGCCCCTTGCTGCCGGCTGGTGTCAGTGACCGGCCCCTGTAGGGTTTGGGAGCGAAGCATGTCATTGGGAGCATGCAGTGAAGTGGCCGGATCGGGTCAGTGGCACATTCTTACTGCTTTGCATCTCTCTTTGCAGCAAGAAAAAGCACAAGGAGAAGAAAAGGAAAAGAGAAGAGGATGCGGTTGAGCAACTTGATATTGTCGGTGAGCTCTTTTCCAGGAGTTATGTGATACTGTGGAAACTGTAGGGTATAGCAGAAGCTGAAGAGGTTGTTGTAGCAGTCCTTAAACTAAGTGAACTAAGTGCAGTCCTTGTAGAGATATATAACTATTTCTTACAGCATGGTATTTGTATGCTGGAATCTTCCTAGATTTCCAGTGGAATTTCTAACACCAGTGGGATGGATTTTCCACTTATATTTTTAGCTTATATTATCTTGTATAATCTGAAGCTACTTATCAGCTTGGGGATCTTTTTTTTTTTTTGTGATATTTGCTTCAGGAGAGATTTTTAGTGCTGTAATGCTGTTATTTAATGAGTGCATTTCTATGTCAATAGCTTAAATCTTCTGTTACTTTAAAAATTAGTAGTTGGATCAGCTGTGCTTTCTGTTTTTGCCCTCCTGCTAGTTACTTTCTGACTGGGTATTTTAGTTCACTCAGACCTTTGATTCTTTCAAAAGGAATAGAGTCTTGATTAGTTTGTTTATTTGTTCTTAATTTTACATACATTCTTGACTGCTGTGATATGTTCACATTATAAATTTGCTACTTCTAATTGAAAGCAAAGGCACAAACATTAACCAGTAACAACATATAACTTTACTTTTTCATTTTTCATAAAATAAAAGTATCACAGTGTGTATGGTCACGAGTGGTAACTTGACAGATTGTTGCCCTTCAGTCCTGTCATGTCCTCAATTGATCACAGTTCACTTCACAAAAACAGATAAACAGATAAAAAATAACCACAAAGTCATCAGGGATTCAGATATGTACTGTAGCACCGCACACATTACTGAATAAATGTCATTTTCTATTATGTGTATATAGTCATTAGCTAAAGTAGTACGCTAGGATGTCATCCTTGTTCCTGTGTTAAAACAAATTATGGTATATGAGAAAATGTGCTGTTGTATCTTGCTCTGGAATAATGTTACAGAAGTTTTACATTCTTTTGTTTAGCCAGATTTCAAAAAAGTGGGAAAGAATTGAAAAATTCATACATGGATCTGTGAGCCCTGACAGCATAGGTCAAGACAATTATCTCCATATGTTGTATAAAGATAGGGGAAGATTATTTCTGCTCAAGGCAGATTGACGTGCCGAATTTACCACGTGGGAAAAAGACATTGTATTCAGATTAATTAAAAATAGTTATTTTCTTAATCAGGTAGAAAATACTTGTAAGACAGTATTTCAGGATAAAATTTTACTGTTTAAAAAATATAAACATAATAATTCTAATTCATGTATGTGGGTAAGGCTACCTTTGATAGAATTCTGTGGGCCTCAAACATTCAAACACAGATTGGCTTCAACAACTGAAGTCTAAGGATTCCAGCTCACATGAAGTAATTTAACAGCAAGATGAGATTATCTGTTTCTGTTGTGCTGGAGAATCTAATAATTGAATATGACCCCAAAACTGCAGGAGGCTGGTCCAGAGGGGAAAAAAAACCCTTCCTTACAAGGTGTTTCTTGGCTGCATCAGCTGAATGGATCAACTTGCTCTATGAATGGATGAAGCACAGGAGCCTCTAACTAGGAATGGCAGGGTGGGTAGAAGAACAGGACTTTCTGATTCAACAGCAACACCATTACATTGGCTCTGTACTATAAAATAATGCACAGAGATCTTGAGATAGCAATTGTGTCTTTAGAATCTCAAATCTCAGAGAAGACACAGAAATACCTCTTGAACTACTGTAATCAGAAGTTGTAATTCCTCTCTTAACTGTCATGGTTTTGTATTTTAGGAAACTGGTGGGCTATCAGTAATTTTGGTGAAATTACAGGAACTATAGCTATAGAAATGGATAAAGGAGCTTATATCCATGCCCTCGACAATGGCTTGTTTACGCTTGGAGCACCGCATAAAGGTTTGTCTCAGGAAATTTGAAAATATGCAGTTTTAGTAATGAAAGGCATAAAAGCATGAAAGTAGCATCACTTAAAGGCAAGCAGTTTTATGGCTAAAAGCAGTTTATTACAAATAATGCAATAATCCTAGCTGTCGCATGCAGATGACTTACACCTAATGACTACCAATCAGTTTCACTTACCTAGTTTCTTGCTGGTTTATGTGTACAGTAAATTGAGCTGCATTGGAGATGATCACCTGTTAAAGGCTGTACAGCTTACTGGATAAAAAGCAGTATAACTTTTATTAAATCCTATAAAATCTTAACGGTGTCAGTTGAAGAGTGAAACTCCATGCAGATGCGTTTCAAGGGTTATTGCTTATCCTTATCTTAATGTACTTGTTTTGTTGCCTCGTTAGTGGCGATGGGTGGGTTAATTAGCTAGTCCTCACTTTGAATTTGAGAGCCATCGGTCAGACAAGGACTGTTGCAGAATCCTGACAGGGTGTTTGACCTCCAGGGTAAGACAAAAGTAACGAAGGTAATATTAATGTCATTTTGGTTTTGATGGATGGAGAGCCTAGTAGCTTTTAGGATACTGAGTTGTTACCATAGCTGAACCATAATGTATTTTCTTATGGAAAAAATAGCATTGCAAGGAGAGTAAGGCTTTCAAAGCCACCTGAAGAATTAGAAAACATTTTCAACTGTAAATTTCTTCATACAAGGATTTTTTAAATTTTGCATTGTTTTAAGCACTCTGAATTTACGAACATAAATAAGCACATGCGTTGTTTGAGTTTTTTTAAGAGTGAATACTCAAAAAGGAATTTTTAAAGAAATGTATAGTGCAGCTTTCCATAGTATTTAGCAATAGCCATTGTTTAATTCTTTAGCCTGTTTGAAACTGCAATATTAACAGATTAAAGTATTGTGTGTTTAATACTCTATACCTAACTAATGGAAAAATCATTCCTCAGATGATGAAGGCCCTAGTCCTCCTGAACAGTTTACAGCAATAAAGTTGTCTGATACAAGGTAATTACTGTAACAATGTTACAAGTTTTGATACTTATCTTTTTCTTGTGTGAATACATGTTTTAATATTCTCTTGAAATACATTGTCTACTAGTAATGTGTTTGTGACATGTTCAATACTGTGAATGGCTTGAGTTAAAAACATTCTTTATTGTTTCCCTGCATTTTCTCTTTGAGGATTGCTCTGAAGTCTGGTTATGGCAAATACCTTGGTATAAATTCAGATGGACTTGTTGTTGGACGTTCAGATGCAATAGGATCAAGAGAGCAATGGGAACCTGTCTTCCAAGATGTAAGCTGCTTGTAATAATTCATTTCGTGTTCCTAGCATTTGACTGTATTTTGAGTTAATCTATGATCTTTGTGCAGTAAAAGCCTTTTGCAATCTCTTCCATACTGTAGCTTTTAATCTTCTGTTTTTCCTAACTACAATGCATTTAATTTAATTTGAAGTGCTTAACATTTTTAAAGTGACTGTATTTTGGCAGCTATAACCATCTTAAGAATGAAGGAGACGGCAAGTCTGCTGGCTAGCTATTGAAGTGTCCATGTGTAAATGAATAAAACACATTTATAGAGTCTTACGGTGTAGTGTAGAGGATAAATGTTATGAATCAAGGATTATATGCAAACTCTTTATACTAACAATATGCAATATTTTTCGTGCAGAGGAAAATGGCATTACTAGCAGCAAATAGCTGTTTTATTAGATGTAATGAAGATGGAGACATAGAAGCCAAAAGCAAAACTGCCGGGGAAGAAGAAATGATAAAGGTAATCTACAACTTCTACAATTAATACAGAATTGGCACAGATATTCAGGCAGCCAGGTGTCTGTGTGCTACAATTTACTGTTAATACAGTTATAATTGTTTTCTATAAGCTGTCAAATGATTTTGCCTCAAGAAAGGCAAATTAAATCCACAGCTGCATAAACTGTGATACTTCCAGTAAAGATAGGAAGCTATTTTACCAGTACAGAAGGGCAAGACATTGAGGGGCAAGTCAATCTATTTGATATTCCAGATAGTTCTGAACAGTTTGATACAGGAGAGATGAATTATGACTGAAGCAGGGGCAGAGAAGAGTTTACCAGAATGATGCAGAAGGGGAGATCTTTTAAGTAAGAGTGTAAAAAGATTATATTGACTTCATCTGGACATAAAAAAATATATGTGTGCCTCCAAAGAGGGGACAGGTGTCTATGAGTCAGAGCAATAATATTTTTAAGTTAGTCTCTGAAAAAGACATTTCACCCCTGCTGAAACTGTGAACTGTAAGTGTGCTCTTTTGAGATAAAGGTGATTATGTCTTACAGTAGTTTCAAGGATTACACTTAGTATTTCCCATGCTTGAGGCAGCTCTTGCTTTTATTGCAGTTGTCGCCAGTTGGGAATTAACTAATTTGAAAGTCACTGTGACTCTCGCTCTGTTATGAAGGATATGTTGTCATCTTTAACCTGTAACCTCTGGTTTTAAAAACTTAGGCATTTTCTGGGTTTTCTTGATTTTTTTTTTTTCTCTAAATGACTAGATTCGTACTTGTGCTGAAAGAGAAGCTAAGAAGAAGGATGATGTTCCTCAAGAAGACAAAGGAAATGTTAAACAGTGTGAAATCAATTATGTGTACGTAGTTTAGAGCTGTTAACAGGCTTAAGTACCATTTTTCACTTCTCTTTGGGGCCATCTTTGGTGGAAGGGCTAAACTCCCACCCAGCCTTTCACTCACTTTCCCCTCAACAGGGCAAGGGAAGGCAATAGAATGAGAAAGCTCATGGGTTGAGATAAAGACAGGGAGACTGTGTACCAGTTACCATCACAGGCAAAACAGATTCAACTTTGGGAAAATTAAATTCATTGCCCATTAAAGTAGATTTGAGTAGTGAGAAACAAAGGCAAAAATTAAACTCAACACCTTTTCTTCCCCTGTCGCCCAAGCTCCGCTTCATTCCAGACTCTCACCTAAACAGGATGGGGGTGTGGGTTAGTGCATAGTGTTTTCTCTCTGCCACTGTGGTTTCTCTCCTTTCCTCTTCCACTTTTCCCCTACTCTGGCATGGTTGGTTCCATGGGCTGTGTAGCATTTTGCCCCTTCTTAAATGTTTTCACAGAGATGGCAATGGGCTCTGCTGTGTCCTATGGTGGGTCCTTTGTGGAGCCAGCTATGTCCAGCACAAGTCAGCCCCTGTCATCTTCTCACAGAGGCTACTCCTGCAGCTCCTACACACGAGTACCTTGCCACCTATGCCCAATACGCTCTCACCGACTTGTCATGCTAGTAGATGAAGAAGGGGCTTTTTAGAACTTGTTACCACATCATGCCAATCTTGTAGGGCTTATTTCCACTTAGACTGCCCAAAAAAAAACCCTGAATAGTGCAATATTGCATACTATGATGATCTGCTGGATTTTTATTAGGCCAGTTGTCTACTGTGTAATAAAGATTCTTACCACAGCTGTTGTTTTATTGAAACACAAAACTTTAAAGAAGTTATACTACTTATATTTTTTCCCTCCCCCATACAGAAAGAAATTCCAGAGTTTTCAAGACAAAAAGCTTAAAATAAGCAAAGAAGATACAAAAGCCCTCAGAAAAGCCAGGAAAGAAGGCACCTTTCATGAAATGCTACTTGACAGGTACCAAACTACAAGAAATAATTTACTGATTTAAAAACTACCAGGAGATGGAATTACAGTAAACCTGGGGTACAAAAGAAAGCTAGATTTCAAGGGTGTGGGGTGTTGAGCATTTCTTCTTTGGTCAGTGTTCTGCCTGAGTTCTGCAATTGGCTTTTTTTTTTTTCCCTTCTGAATTTTCACTTCTTTAGGTGAAGTTTGTAGGTTTGGATTTGTCCAGAAATGAATTCTTCTGGAAATCTTTAACTAGGTTGTTCAGTTTTAGTACAGAGGAATTGAGGAATGAATCTTTTTAATCAAAGAAATTAAGCTGATTTTTAAACATGCTCAGTACCTATGGCACTGGAACATTTTGGAGAGGGGAAAGCTGCATTTTAAAGAGAAATAGCATTTATTAAGAACAGTCTTCATGTTATTTAGTGAGAATTTTTTTTTCCCCTGAGCTAAGCCTATAGAAAATGTCTCAAATTTTTAAAAAATCTTGTATCAATATACAGTATAAACATTTGCATTTATTGAGCAGGTGGAATGCTGACTATTTCTGATAATTGCAAGGGATGTGAGAACACTCCTGGGCCATCACCAGTTAAGTGTCAGTTTCAAATCAAACTGAATCTGAATTCCATTCCTCAGAGTGGACAAGACACAATTCATGATGATTTGAAGGAAAGACGAGGTTACCTTTAGACATTGCAGTTCTAGCTCCATAAGAAAACAAAGTTAATTAACAAATCCAAAGTGTTGTTAGGCTTTTATATGTGCTTTGAAGTAAAGCTTAAGAAAAATTGTTTTCAATGCTTTCTTAATGCTTTGAGGCAGATAAAATGCTCAGATGTAATCATGTTTGTTCTTAACCTGAATCTTGTTTCATTATTCTTTCTCTATAGGAGAGCAAAAGTGAAAGCAGATAGATACTGCAAGTGACAACCAGCTGGTCCACTTTCTTCCGCATCTTTGATGACAGGGTCAAATTGAAAACAAGAGTAAAATGTTCTATATTTTTTATTGAAGGCTTTTTGGTGATGTTTTTATGATTTTATTTTTAAAGGATTGCCCAAGAGCTATAATTAAGCATCAAACTAATGTCATCTTTCAGTCATGAATACTATTAAGTTTACTCTAAAGCTACCTGCTATTGAAATAGTGAGATAAATATTTAATGGAAAAGAAATGGACCCACTGAATCTTCCAAGGTTGGTGAAAGGAACCTGAACTTAGAGACAGGACAGAAGAGATTCCAGGCAGAAGAGAATGACGATGAAGTTCAAAAGTAAAACATGGTTAACACATTGAACCATTAAGAATATGTAACTGTATTGAACAAGAAGAAATAATTGAAAATATGTCTTAGAACACATCCTGCCAGATCCTGAGTAGGGCATATGTGGAGCCATTCTACACTGCATCAGGTGAGGACTGGGCCAGAATATTCAATGTTCAAAACAGACTCACTGTTCAAGTCACTAAATGGCATAATCCATATGCTGGAAAAAGTGTTGACAAGCAACAAGAATCCTATTACAAATGAAAATGCAGGTTCTTTGTAAGAAAATGGGATGGCTCTTTTGCGCTAGTAGGCCACTTATTTTACAGGAGGGAAAAATGATTTTGCAAATTTGCTGGTTTCTCTATGGCATGGACTTTAATTTGTTTAATAAAACAGCAAGAATTTTTTTTAAGGTCGTAACATAATACGCATTCATAGTATGTCATAAAATACGGTTATCCCCATCTGCTCTTCTCAAGAAGCTTTTCAGTAAAAATGTACCCGTAGGAACTACCTCAGTCTGAACAATTGCTTGCCCTCTCCACAGCTTCTGAGTCATAAAGATTACTTGGTAACAATGTTGAGGATTTCTATTGTAATAATTTAAGTTGTCTCCATCGAGTTTCTCCTAGCTGTCAATTTGAACTGCACACTTAGTACAAAACTCTAACGTTATGCAAGATAACGATGTGTCTAAAAAGAGCACAAGAATGGACCAATGAAGTCTAGTCAGTAATGACAATTTGAATCAGTCTAATTTCATAGGCAGTCAGTCTTGAGGAAGAATCCCAAAGAATTTACATCATAATTGTTTAAGCCCTCTAGTGACTCTTCAGTATGAAAAGTAATTATAGCTGGTTAGGGAAGGCTAGCTGGGGTTAGCAAGAAAAGCACTTTTTAAAAAAAAATTTTACAAAAATAAGGATGCAATTCATGCAGATTTTATAGAACCAAAAGAAGAAAAACTCCTTAGGCTGGGCACATTCATGATGTAACATAGGAATTCTTAGAAACTCATTTGTTTCTAGAAAAGCAAACAAAAATCCAAACCTTTCTCTGATGGCACTTTGAAGCTTTCCATACCCAGTTCTACACAGCTGAGTAGAGAGATTGCTGCCACAGGACTTTTCCCTCTGAGGCAGTAAATGTAGTTTTGTACCTGTTAAACCTACTATTCATGTCATACCTAATTTATAAGAATAGGCATAATTGCTAGTTCCTTGTGTGAGTAGCTATTTTGGAATGAGTGCCTTTTCTTCCCACTTTAGCTTTTTCTGCTGAGGGAGATACTAAATGAAAAATCAGAATGCCCTCTCTGGGAGGGAATGGTTTGTGCAAGTATATTGGGACAGTTGTGTTTGTTATATGACAAACACTTGGAGACCTTATTCCAGCTGCTCCATAAGATTTTGTATTCTAATGCTGATAGAAGTTATAACAGAATGCTGAGCAATTAAATAAAAGCAAGGTCTCTGAATTAAAAAAAATAGTAAAATGGAATTATCAAATTAGAATTTTGCCCTCAGTTTTCAGAGGTATAAACAAACCCTCAGTAGCTGTTTTCTGAACTTAAATGTTCTTCTAGAGAATTGTATTTTTCCCCGTATATGTCATTTATCTGATTAATGTATTTCAGGACATACTGTTAACAAAAATGTATTGGTATCAGATGACCATGTAAACTGATCAAATGCTTGACAGTGCTTATCAAGTTCAATGGCTCCATTCTAAAGTTCTCACAGATTTTGTTTCTAGTTAGAGTACAAAACTTTGAGTTTATTCTTTAGGTTTACCATATAGCAGGAGTGACTGAAAATTATCTTTACTGTCCATCAGTTTCTATTAACTACACATTCTTTCAAAGCAAACAATTGCTGGGAATATCAGCATGTTTGTAGTGAGATTTTGCATTAAAACATTTGCAAAAAGGAACTGTAATTAGCAGAACTGATCTTTGATTGTTTTTTTAAGTATCTCCAGAATTATATTAAAATTCCCTCACATATCAATAACCCACTTATAAAATCTTACTAGCTGTATCACTTGTGAATATTTGGCTTGTATTAAGGGAATGGCTTCAAGAAAAAGTAATGGTATATAAATTCCCAATAGTAAGCTATTTGCCATATAGCTTAAGCCCTGGAAGACTTACTGTACAGTGATGTAGTCCAGAGAAGAAGCTCCCTGGCTTTTAGTGATCTTGAGAGAGAAGAGTTGGCTTTTCTGAAAACTCTGTATATAACCTGATTGGTCTCAAATGAAAATAGACATCAGTCAGAGAGCCATGTAGGTATAGTGTGTTGCTAGCCTTTTATCAATAGCAGCAATAGTTGAGCAGATGAAACTGATTGTAAATGTGGCTTAGAGACTTTTGAATCGCAGTGTGTGTCCGTATGCTCTGTAACTCAATTTCTGTAAAGAACAGGGCTATGCTGCTTTTTGCACAGTGAGTAAAGGCCGTATTTTGCGTTCCTTCATTATTGGAAAAGATGCATTGTACATGCCCAGGAGCTGTGACAGAAGCATGAGTACTGAATTTGTGGGGAGATGGCCAAAAGCTAGAAATAAATAGATTATGGCAAATGCTCCTGGCTAGAGTGTGAGGAATTCTTAGATGAAAATGCAGCATAGCTATGGGTTGTACAATCACAGAAAAAAATTTAGTTCATTTTTTCCCAATCTCCTCAGTTTGGTTTCTCTGGAGACATTCAAAACCCGCCTGGATGTGTTCATGTGTGATCTTCTCTAGATTATCCTGCTCTAGCAGCAGGGTTGGACTAAGTGATCTTCAGAGGTCTCTTCCAACCCCTACCATGCTGTGATTCTGGGGATTTGGGCTCATTAAGTAGTTCTAGTTGTAGGTCCCACACTACATGTTCCTACCCAGAAATGTAAGTAACCTGATGTACAACCATTGCAACATCAAGGACGAGGAAGTGGCTTACTGTCAGAACTACTCCCAGAAACACTGGGAAAGAGGCAGCACCACAAGGAGCAGGCTGTGGGCCAGAGTAATTATTTAATGGGCAGTTTGTTGCAGGTATCATTGATCCACAATCACTGTGAATCTTAAACACATCTGAAGTGAATGTCGATGGCTGAAGTACCCTTATGTTACAGCATCTGTTTTCCTTTCAAGAATATATTGTTTAAATAAAATCATGTCTGGCAGAACTCATAAAAATTATTATTCAAGCACAGATGTGGCTGAAAGCAGAAATCTGCTATGCTGATGGAGAGGGTGCTGAAAGGAGTACTTAGAATCTGAAGAAGAGCCTGAGAATTACCTGCAAAAAGGAGTTTTCCATTTTTTGTTTATCAAATAGGAGAATGCAAAGTGTAGGCTCTGCAGGCAGTCATAAGTGATAGTAAAGGAAAAATGGAACTGAGAGGCACGTTTGTACAGAGCTAGGAAGAAGTGAATCAGAAAGAAATGTCAAAGCAAATGAAATGAGACTGTATCAAGCAGAAGAGGAAGTACTGGATTTACCAAGGGACTGGCAGCCCTGAGGAGAATAAGGATGTTGTAGTAGAAACGGGGTTGCCCTGTGTGTTTGGACTCGTGATACATTTTTTAGCAAGAATCTAGTGTGTCCTGAGGTAACACAGAAGCAGAGATCTGGGGAATTCACTGGAAAAGTAGTCCCAGGAGCTCAAAGGTATGGCAAAGATGTGTCTTAAATTGGGATATTTTCCTATTGGAGGCATTCATGGAGTCGTCTTGTTGATACTATATCCTGGCAGTAATGTTAGAACAAAGACCTTTAATTAAACTGAAACAGAGAGAAGGGGAAGCAATTTGTGCAGCTTCTGCTTCTGGAGAAGGAACAGATCTGACAAGTGGCAACACTGTACTGGATAGATGACTATAAGAAAGCAGAAAGCAGAAGGGTGGACGTGTACTAGTGACATAAGCTGTCAGGACAGCTAACAAGTAAACTGCACATCTTAAGCAGCTGTTTTCTTCTGGTTTAACTTAGATGTAACTGACAGAAGAAAAAAGATGGAAGACCTAAAGTACTGGTGTAGACCCTGGAGGCGAGGTGTGCTGATAGAAACACAGCCCTAGTCAGAGAAACATGGGTATTGAGGAACACAGCTACTGGAGGATGTTAACTATTCCTTAAACTTAGAATTTCTTTACTAGTGAAAGAGCTAAACCAAACGTTTGGCTTCAAAATTTTAAGTTGTGAATGTGTACCATGGCATAATTTTGTCTTCAGAGTATTCAGAAAGAGTTTGTAATTTTCCAAAGTCATCTTTTATTTCCTGTTAAAAATGCCCTAAGAATAGTGAAGCATTGAAAAGCTGTCTGCTCCCAAAACTAAATCTGAGCAAAAGGGGGGCTGCAGAAGTTTAGAAAATAACAGGACCAACTCAATCTGGCTGTTTCTTACCATAGACCATAATAGTATAGTCAGGTACCTGCAAGTAAATGTAAAATTGCTGTCTTACAAGTATTTGTTTTCAACAATAACATAAAATAGGGCTGGGGCCTGTAGAAACTGCCTGATTTCTATTTGTGAAAGACAATCCCATGAAAATGTCAGGTTTAATCCTCTTATTTCCTAATTTCATAAATCCCCTAATTGGTTGTGTATCTTCTTCCACCAGCACTTAATGCTTTTCTGCCTCAGTCTCCAAAGTTTTGTGCAATTCCAAGCTTACACTCCGAGCCGATTCCTGCCTACACATTGCTGCACGCCCTCCCCTTGCTCGAGGCTTTCACACCATACAGTGCAATGC